ACTATGACCTTTAATGAGGCCAAGGTATTTGAGACAGCGCTCTGCATGAATCAAGAACGCCTTTTTGTATGTCTAGGATTTATGTCATTATCATCAGGTGCCTTGCCGACTGGCGTGGGCGATCATAACCATAATCTGCGATCTCTTGCATCATGTATCAGTTCGTGTGCTGACACACCTCCATGCCATGCAACAAGACTGTCAAGAATCTTCTGTTGTTGTCTTCCTCGATCCCTCCTTCCACAGATCTTTCCAGTGGTCACAACATGTTCAATTTACCCTCTTCTTATAACATGGCCGAAAAAATGATAACTGTCTCCTTCTGATGTCTATTATTAGTTGTCTTCGAGTTCCCGCCTCTTTCAAAACCTCTTGGCTGCTCTTTTTGGCTGTCTTTTTAGCTAAGAAAATTGTTTGGCCTGCCTACCGATTGTCCAGGACTCACAGCCATGTGTTGAAAATGGATGCATGCAGCAAGCAAGAATTCTTTTTCTAACCCTCATTATATATATTTCTTATATTTATTTATATATATTTTTCAAATAATGTGCCTATTCCACAGTTGGTATAGCAGCGGTGGATTATCCGTTTAGCGAGACCAACACATACTTAAGGCATCAAAGAAAGGGGGCATCACATAAATTTCCTCGGAAATTTTCCATAATCTTGGTAACACAACAGAATTGGAATCTGGTAACGGTCCACGGAGGCTCACGTGATCGTTCTTGTATCTTCATGTCGGCTGTCCCCTTGAGTCGTCCGGTGAGAACGAGACTGTAGGACCACTAGTATCTAACTCAGCGTACAAGCTGGCAACAACACACGGGCTAGCACTGTCACTTTGTAAGTAAACTGCTTTTGACACTGACAAACACATAATTTAACGAATGTTTTAAAATTTTATTTTATAGCATTTTTTTTTTTATATTTTGAATTACATATCTATTTGGGGAACCATATCATTTTAGGCTATCCCCGAATAACGGGCACAAAAGATGGCAGCCACCAAAAAAAACACCCTAACAGAGCCTCAATCACGTGTCAATTATGCACCTCCGGCAACTTAATTTGCGGTTTTCCGGCGACTACCGCCACCGCCGATAGTATCCCCCACGCCGCTCACGAGACGTGGATTGGGGCTAAACTAGATGGCTGGGACTCACGAGCAGCAGCTTCCGCATCTCCTGCAGCTTTGCTCGTGAATCCTAGCCATCTAGTTTAGCCCTAATCCTAGGCGTGTGGGATACCATCAGCGGTGGCGGTAGTCGCCGGAAAACCGCACATTAGGTCGCCGGAAGTGCGCAGTTGACACGTGACGGAGGTCCTGTTTTTGGCCGCCATCTTTTGTGCCCGTTATTCGGAGGATAGCCGCATTTTAAGTGCTAAGGGTCTTACTCCAGGACTGAGAGGTAGGCTGTTGTAGGTATGTGTCTCTACTGTTGTGTTTAGAATATTATGCAATCCCCCCCCCCCCCCCCCCCCCCCCCCCCCAAAAAAAAAAAAAAAATTTTCTACGGTGAGCTGCAAAATGGAAAACGTTCCCAAGACGGGCAAAAGAAAGAAACGCTTTAAGGACACATTGAAGTCTTCACTCGAAGGATTTGGGATGAATGACACCAATTGGGAGGCTGCCTCTCAAGACCGAAATGCATGGCGTGCAGCTTTACGCAAGGACGCGGCTACATGTGAAGCAAACAGAACAGCAAGACTGATTAGGAAAAGGGTGGACAGAAAGGCCACGTCAGGAGATCCCCTCCCTGGCACAATACTCATTCTCTGTCGTCATTGTCCAATAACTTTTCGGGCCCGCATCGGCCTCATCATTCATCTTCGTACTCATACTTGATGAAAAAGCGTGGTCATCGTCATCTTGATGGACAACACACACTTATACACTGTGGCCTCGGTCTCGTCCAAGGTGAGAATCTCACGAGAAAGCCACGAGAAAGGTCATTTTCCTAAACCGCCCGCTTCGGAAAATCCAACCCTTGCTTTAACCCCCACCACCTCCTTTCGCAATTCTTTTTTTTTTTGGGGGGGGGGAGGGGTCAAGGGATTACTTAAGTCTTGTTTAATTGTGCAGTAGTAACATTTATTATTGCGCAACCATGACTGCAAGAACAGAAAGTTAAAAATCTCTTCATGTTGCTGTTGACAAGTGATCTCCATGCTGCCTGTCTGCTGCTTTTCTGCCTATGGTAGCCCATATTGGTTTACATTTCTTTATGTTCCGTTCAGTTGTATTCCTCCAGGTTTCCTTAGGTCGTCCACGTCTCCTTTTCCCATCTACTGTCCACCAGAGAACTGACCAGTGTCACAAGGCATTCTGCAAACTTGCCCAAGCCATCTCCATCGTCTTACTTTGATAACATTTGCCAGTGATGCACATTTTGTTTTCCTCCTCAGTTCTTCATTTGTGATTTTGTTTTGCCAAAATATTCGTAGAATTCTCCTTAAACATTTATTTTGAAAAGTCTCAAGTTATGTATCTATCATTTAACTAACTGTTATTAGTTAGTCTGCAGTCAAACCAGTGGTCTGCCTGCAGCGGATAGCCCGTAAATGTTATTCTAGATTGGATCCCCTGGAGAGAGGATTAAATGTTGCCAATACACATCCAGGCAGAAGAGAAAGGAGTATTCGACAATGAAGAACAAAACAGCCACCCTTAGTCTACTTGATGATGATTACCAACAGTTTCTTGGGTTCGTGTCTGCACGGATGGGTCAGCACAAAACGCAGGTAGAAATGGATAATAAAATAGCCAAAAACAAGTCTTTAAACAAATATCTATGGACAAAAAGGGGGGGGGGGGCGGCGTGGTTGACGGGGAGATACTCCTTATCGCGCACCACATAACATCACAGCCCTACCTGAGGAGGGGTGGGGGGGGGGGGCTCAAAGGCGTCTGAGCCCCTTGGTTTATGCCATATAATACACAACATTAGTTCAGGACGGGCAAGGCTGAGAACCATCGTATCCTTTCTATCAACTGCTACGACAACGAATAAATACAAGTGCGAGTGGATGTGTTCTAGATTTTGGATGCTAACTTTGGTGTGTGAGACAGGTTGGCTGTCATTTTCATGCATTTTGCTTCCAGCACCAAAAGTTTGTGAGGTTTTTAAATCCTGTCTGTTGCAGCTATTTATTATTGAATAGAAACTCAACACTATTAATAACTTGTATTGTTTTATATAGCGATTATAGTGAAAGATAATCATTTACGATTCTAGATCTGTGTGCACATATTCACCTTTGACTTGAGGTTCCTGCATTACTTGGCCCACTTGTTACGAACTTTAATCTTTCATATAGTTCGGTTGCACTAGCGAATGGTTGAGCCGTTTCCTCGCGATCTGAGGGTCGAGGGTTTGTTTCACTGTCTGTTCGAGATTGCAGCTGTAACGGATATTCCCTGCGATCGTCGTTATAGCTGCGGAGTTCAATCATTGTGTGAACATCTTGGCGGGAATCTAGCCGTTCTTCGGAGAGAGACCGACCACAAGGAATAGAATTTGATTCAGGGAAGTTAGACATCTCGACTTTACATACACCTTTAACTGTAATAATATCAAAGGTAGAGTAGTAATTTTCACAATATCCCCTTCAACCCTCGTGGCTATAATGTGGGTGTAAAGTGTATATTTACTTTTCAAAGTATGTTTTTCCTATTTTATGTATTGTAAAATAATTTCTTTCAGAATTTTAAAGCTTCATTGCCATTTTGAGACCAAGAGTAACATAAAGCACGAACTCCATAGCTCCAGCAACGACTCTTTATTAATTGAACGACACATCTGAGAATTGAACCCACAACATCCTGGGTGCAATGCAAACATCCTAACTACCCAGCCACGGAGACCTCCCCTTGTGAGGAGACCAGCAGGAGTGACATTTGGGATGCCAGATTTTGAATGCTATGTGACCAAATGTGAAGTCATGACCAAACGAATGAAGCAGCCCTGTTGGAGAGAAATATAACTGCAAACTTATTTTTCTTCTGTTTTTTGGTTGTAACCATACTAGTCATCCATTCTGGGATGCAATTTTTCATTATTTTGGAGCAACACCTTGGCTCTTGCCAGGGGCCGCAATATAGCCCGGCCATAAATATGGTCTAATGGCTGAATTTGGTTTCCAGGAACTCTCCACGGGTGATCCTCATCCACATGGTGGCACTTTGTGTCATCGGGTGTTTATCACTTGTGTGATGTCTTGGTGGGGATAAAATGTACTACTAATTTTCTTCTTTTTTATGTTCATTGGATGTAAACTCCAGTGGAAAATTCTGGGTGTTTGTCCACCTGTAGACTTTAGCCTTGTTCCAAAACCTGAAGTTTTGCTTGCGTGCACATCCGTTTCACATATCTGGCTTATTTGTGTGCATTCTCTTGGTCCCCTTGCTTCTCAGGAAGATGTGCTCCAGGCCACACCCTGCAAAATGACAGCAAATTTTTCCTTTCGAAATTAGCTGTGTTAAATAAGACATAACAATTGTGCATAAAAAGTTATAAATAATGATGATAATGATATTAAACATAATTTAAACACCAATTACATATATTGAACAGCTTAGGTTTAACCTTTGTACAAACTGCCAAATAAAACTGGCAAGTACGGGCTGTATTTGCTACTGTTGTGGTGTAGGCAGGGAGGTCTTTGAGCCTGAAGATTTGCTAGTGCTGGGCCACAAACTATACATGTTAGGTTGGCTTTTTTAATTTACTAATTTAACTTTTTCTTACTACTAATATTTTTTTTTTTTTGGTAATTGTAAATGCATCCATCACTACAAAACAGATTTTTATTGAACTTGAATGTGACTGTATGTGAATTTCAAGATAGCTCTAAAGGGTTAACATTATTTCATTTTGTCTCCACTTGCAGTGCCCTGGATGAACAGAATGTTTCAAGCACTAAAGAACGCATTATACAACCTGATTGTGAGGTCCGGGATCATCATTTACATCCTTCCTATTCTCAAACCTTTTGTTGTCATGTTATTCAAGAACAGAAAACATGATTTTGTCACTGATGCTTCAGGGGCAACCCTCAATGTATTAAAGTACAATGGGAAACTCTATACACCTGGCATACAAGGCAAATTGTTGACTCTCCCAGACATGAGGGTCAGAAAATCAGACGTTCTTCTGTGTGGTTATCCAAAAACTGGCTGTCACTGGGTGCATGAGATCATGCATATGTTGGTGAATAAAAAGGTAGAGCTAACCAAGCATGGGAAGGAACTTGGCGGAATGATTGAAGTCTCTCCAGATATAATTTTAGATTCTCTTCCATCTCGAAGAGTGTTAAATACACATTTTCTCTATGAAGAATTGCCAAAAGGTTTTAAAGAAAACAAGACAAAGATTGTCTACACAGTTCGGAATCCCAAAGACACAGTAGTATCATACTATAATCACCACATTAATCTCAAACTGTTCTATGGCTACAACGGAAATTTCAACGATTATTTCCAGCTGTTTATGGAGGGTAACTTGGACAGCGGCAGCTACTTTGACCATGTTCTTGCATGGGACAAGGTCATCAGGAGTCAGACAGACAATCCAGTATTGCTGGTCAAATTTGAAGATATCAAGTCTGACCCAGTTGAAGTTATTCTGCGAATTGCTGAATTCCTTGATGTTGAAACCACCAGAGAGTTTGCTGAAGATGTCGCTAGTGCCTGTCATTTCACCAAAATGAAAGCAAAGAGAGAAAAGGCTGGATCATTTGATGCAGTTATGTTTCGGAAAGGTATTTTTGAGATCCTTTTGAAAATCTTCTACTCCAGAAGCAGAAAGTATCAGTTTATACATTGCTTCTTTTTTTCTAGTTATGCTGTTATGTAGATATTTTGTTTGAAATATTGACATCTTTTATTCTACAAAAACTTAGAAGTCAACCTGGTCAACAAATGCTAGATGAAGGTGGATGGGGCAGCTAAAAGATGCAAACATTGCAGCTTTGCTGTAAACAGGTACAACACAGTTACGTCTCTCGGATGTATGACGGTAAATGACAATTGTGTTAGGCTGGTTTACAGTAATGCTGCGATATTTGCTCGATTTGACTGACACACTTTTTGTCCCCTTTCCTCCATTCTGTTCTGTCCTAAGCAATCAGTTCAATGGAATATGGAATACATTTTAGCACCTTTGGCCTCGCTCATCAACATTCGTTTCAGGGTTTCTTTTTGGCATCCATGCATCCTTACTTTCCCTTTACTTCACATTTTCATGCCTTTTTGGTGATTCTTTGATAGTTTCTTCTCAGGATGTGTCTACTTTAGCATTATCTTCTCAGTGGTATAACAGTTGATACTGATGGTTACCTAGACACTGCTCTTTTTTCTTCACTCCTTTTAAATTCATCGTATTCTGTGTTCATTATTTTCTTTAGACATTTGTTTTTGAGTGCATTTAACTTTCATTCCATGTGTTTAGTTTTTCTCCGAATTTAATGTTTCTCCAACTTTCATTGGCATATGTTAAAACTTAAATAACATTAGAATTGAAAATATGTAACGTAGTTTTAAAACTATACAGTTTAGAGTTCCCGTTTTATTCAGGTTTTTAAAAACTGCTGATGCCTTGCCAGTTTGTCATTTCTTTCTTTGCATTTCTTTCTTTCAAAATTATCTCCTTAATAAGTAAATTGTCCTGTTACTTTATTTACTTTTGTCTCTAGTTTTATATCTGCTTGATCTGTTATTAGTGTCATCAATATATTTGTCTTTTCATAACTAATATGTTTTCCAACATTTGCTATATTTACTACATCATCTGTTTTTCTTTGCATGTCATTGTTGCTTCAACTGAACAGAACATTATCATCATCAAAATCGAGATCTTCCAACTGTGTGTTCTCCACCCTCCTTAAGAAAGAGAATATGGGTTTGAGCTGAAATGCTATAGAAAGATTCTCAGAATATCTTGGACGAAAAAAAGGAGAAATACTGACATCTTGAAAGATCTGAACATCAAGGAAGATTGGCTAATATACAGCTTCCTGTCTCAGAAGCTGAAATATTTTGGTCATATCAAGCGCCATGACGGATTGTAAAAAATTATAGCAGAGGGCATGGTACCAGGACGAAGTGGCAGGGGCCGACCAACATGAAGATAGGCACATGATATAATTGACGCCTTGAGAATGAAAGTACATGAGGTGGGAGAGCTGGCGAGGGACCCAGTTTCTTTCAGGCAGACCGTGATGAAAGCGATGTTCTGCAAAGGACCTGCTACATGATGATGATGAGTCTCCCCTTACTTTCTCCTTTCTATGGTATACATAGTCCCCCCTTACTTTTTCCTTTTTATGGTATACATTGTCCCCCCTTTCTTTCTCCTTTCTCTGGTATACTTAGTCCCCCCCTTACTTTCTCCTTTCTCTGGTATACATAGTCCCCCCTTACTTTCTCCTTTCTATGGTAAGTGTAGTCTCTCCTTACTTTCTCGTTTCTCTGGTATAACATAGTCCCCCCCTTACTTTCTCCTTTCTCTGGTATACATAGTCCCCCCTTACTTTCTCCTTTCTATGGTAAGTGTAGTCTCTCCTTACTTTCTCCTTTCTCTGGTATAACATAGTCCCCCCCCCCCCCCCCCCTTACATTCTCGTTTCTCTGGTATAACATAGTCCCCCCTTACTTTCTCCTTTCTCTTGTATAACATAGTCCCCCCTTACTTTCTCCTTTCTCTTGTATAACATAGCATTCTAAAATTCCCCATGGTAGTGTTCTGCATGGACAGTACTTTTATGAAATTACACAGCACATTTGGTAAACTATAGAGTTTAGTTAGACTGCAGTTTGGAAACAGTTAGGTCGACTGTGTTCCTCAACCAGTGACCCTTAGAGGTCGACAAAATGGTGGAAACGCAAAGGACCTTTTTCCCACTATGGAACAGCTTGTGAAAACATGCAAATTTAAATGTCACTGCATGGCATTGGGCCAGAAGGCAAAAACTCATGCGCTGCTGGATCGATAACAACAACAACAACAACCAACAACAACAACCCACCATGGCTTATCCAGCACACGATACTAGACTTATATTGTTATAGACCAGTCCGCATTCTTCTCCTTCTGCCTCTCCTCCTCATTCTTTTTCATCATCATATTCTTTTTCTTCTTCTCCTCCTCATTCTTCTTCATCATCATCTTCTTTTTATTATTATTCTTATTTATCTTCTTCTTCTTCTTCATCTTGCTGTTTGTTTTCTTCTCTGCCTCCTCTCTCTTTCTTCTTCTCTGTTTGTCTTCTTCTCTCCCTCCTCCTTCTCTTTCTTCTTCTACTACTTCTTTTTCCTTTTAGTGTTCAAGGGCAGTGAACTCCAGTGGAAAGTCAAGGGCAGTGAACTCCAGTGGAAAGTCAAGGGCAGTGAACTCCAGTGGAAAGTCAAGGGCAGTGAACTCCAGTGGAAAGTCAAGGGCAGTGAACTCCAGTGGAAAGTCAAGGGCAGTGAACAGTGGAAAGTCAAGGGCAGTGAACTCCAGTGGAAAGTGCAGGTTCTGGACTTTGGACTTGTTCCAGAACCTAAGCTTTGTGTGTGCACATCTGTTCTACAGATCTAGCTTATTTATATGCAGATTGTTGATTCCTCACATCTCAGGCATTTGCTCTCCAACTTTGAAGAAAGATGTACGAAGTAGTTGCCTTGTAGGACATGCTTGTTAGACAGGCAGTGGGTCTATACTTGTCCCAAAATGAGGCCCAGAACTCACACAGGGCAGTCAGCATTTAGTCGGTGATGTGGTCAGTAACATGCTGGCTGTGTAGTCAGTAACATGCTGGCTGTGTGGTCAGCAACATGCTGGCTGTGTGGTCAGCAACATGCTGGATGTATGGTCAGCAACATGCTGTCTGTGTGGTCAGCAACATGCTGGCTGTGTGGTCAGCAACTTGCTGGCTGTGTGGTCAGCAACATGCTGGCTGTGTGGTCAGCAACATGCTGTCTGCTTTAATCCCCTTGATCTTTCATGGTATTTGTTTTTGGCCGGGTTGTCCTGGGAGTAAAAAAAACAGCACCTGTAGGCCAGTAAGCAAGCAGGCTATGGTGTTCTAGTGTGTGTATTTTCAATACTCATTTTCACTATATGTATGTATCTATATAACAATTATTCTTACAGGGACTGTTGGTGACTGGAGAAACTGGCTGACCGATGAGCAAAGTCAGGCCATGGATAAAGTCTGGAGTGAAAAAATGAAGGACTGCATCTACCAGCCAGTGTATTAGACAGTGTACTAGACAGTGTATTAGACAGTGTACTAGACAGTGTATTAGACAGTGTACTAGACAGTGTACTAGACAGTGTACTAGACAGTGTATTAGACAGTGTATTAGACAGTGTATTAGACAGTGTACTAGACAGTGTACTAGACAGTGTATTAGACAGTGTACTAGACAGTGTACTAGACAGTGTACTAGACAGTGTACTAGACAGTGTATTAGACAGTGTACTAGACAGTGTACTAGACAGTGTACTAGACAGTGTACTAGACAATGTATTGGACAATGTATTGGACAGTGTATTAGACAGTGTACTAGACAGTGTACTAGACAGTGTACTAGACAATGTATTGGACAGTGTACTAGACAGTGTATTAGACAGTGTACTAGACAGTGTACTAGACAGTGTATTAGACTGACAAGTGTTGGACAAGATGTACCTGCGTACAGTGTCTACTTTTTGTATTAATTTGAGAAAAACAGAAACTGTTTGCGCAAAGAATTATGACACAAAACATTGCTTACAAAACTTTGGTGAATGTTTGATTACATGCAGCAGAAAAAAATCTGACCCATGCAGTCACAATGAAACCAGTATCTGTAGCAACAGTTGGGATTTCATATTCGTATCTAAGTTTAACCCTGTCACCTGGGTTATGCTAAAAAGAATGGGTCATAACCCGATGGAAATTCTCAGAACAAATCCTTTATAAACAACATTTTTAGCACTAACAGATTTGAAAATGTTATTTATGTACATATAGTAAACTAAAGGACCCATTAGGCATTTTGGGAATATAGGGCTAGACCTATATTTGTATAGACCAAACGGCACAAGATGGGGGATGGGGTCAGCATTACGCCAGCCGCCTTTACTTTCCAGGACTGCACCTGGTTTCCCTTCAAGGCTGGGTCAACCTGGGAGTCAAGGTCTTTTCTTTTAAATCCGGCTGCCGTCTTTATGTACATATGCATGTGTTAATTTGTCTTTTTTGAAAATATATAAAGATATATTGAAAAAGTAATCATTAAATAAAAAGAGTTAAGCATTTTGTAAACAGGTCACTATACACAAGTCGGAAATATGACATTTAAGGGAAAATCAGCCCTATTTGGAAGTGCTGGTTTTGTGGCTTCTTGTGACCAAGTTAAAGGGTGGTAAATGTGAAAAAAACTGGCTGAATTATTTGGGATTTTATCCCATTGGCTGTCTCTCTATCTCTCTCTCTCTCTCTCTCTCTCTTTCTCTCTCTCTCTCTCTCTCTCTCTCTCTGCCATTCTCTCCCTCTCTACACAGTGGCTGTCGCCCATGAGAGCACTACACAAAGCACAGACTCCATAGCCTCAACAATGGTCCCTAGGGGTCTGCACCTGCAAACTGAAACTTGAGTCTGAAATTGAATCCACAACCTTGAGCATGAGGCAAGTGGCTAATCCTGTTTGTAGCAGAGACTGGCTCATAGCTGCATTGAGTTGATTCAAGAATCAACATCACAGCAATCGGGGTGCTCCCATAATGCTTTGTCCCCATTTTCAGCAGCCATCATAGAGTTTCAATACCAACAGCTCAAGTAGTGTTCTGATTAAATGCCCGTCTTTCCTTTCCTCTGAGCATCGAACATCGGCCAGAGCACCTCGTCACTCCATGCTGCATCACTCTAACCAGACTGTAATCATCCGCTTGCTCCTCCAAATTGTACACATTCTCCCACAAGGTTGTAACCATGTCTGCCTTATCATACATCACTATTCCACAGAGTTGTGAAGAGTCTGCCAGTCTGCATTTCTCAACACACCAGCATACCTGGAGAAAAGATTCAGACAATACTCCTCCCCCATGACCTCTGCAGCGAAGCATGCCACTCTGCATGAAGCATGCTTGTCCTGATCTTGTATCTAAGCAACAGAGTTTGGAAATGACAGTATCAATGCCATTGGCTGTTTGTTGTCATTCCTTGTCCTGACCTTGTATCTAAGCAACAGAGTTTGGAAATGACAGTATCAATGCCATTGGCTGTTTGTTGTTATTGCTTGTCCTGTGGTGCCATTATGTGTCACACAGGTCTAACCCTCCCTTCCATTAGGACCTGTATAGTTCTTTTGACATCATGAAATGGATTGCATTCCAGCACCTTTGGCCTCTCTCATTTGTTTGCATCTGTTTTAGGGTTTCTTATTGTGTGTCCTCACTTCATCAATCTCTCCCCCTCCCCCCCCCTCCCCATTTTAGTGCCTGTTTGGTGGTTCTATGTTTTCTTCTCAGGATGTATCCTTTATATCGCCATTTTCTTTGTCTTGTAACTAACTTGTACCTGCTCTCATGCAGCACACACCACTCAACTCATTTGTTTACTGGAATGGCATCTTTTCCTGCAAGTTTCTGTGGCCAAATAACTTGCACGGGGTGAAGAATCTAGCCCGCTTGTGTACCCCTACTCCTTTCTCATCCAGGCTTGGGACTGACATTGGCAGAGATTATGACCTGTTGCTGCACTGGATTGATAAGTGGATTATATGGACTATTATCACAGAATTAAAAGTCTATGGTGAAGCACCAGCAAGGAAATTAACATTTTGACAGCATGCATATTCCATGTAGCAACATACGGATGTGAGTCGTGGACTATCTTCCAGTCCTTTAGAAAGAGAAATAGAAGCTTTTGAGCTGAAATGCTAAAGAAATATTCTTTGAATACCATGGAAAAAGAAGAGAAGAAATATGACATTCTGAAAGATCAGAACATCAAGGAAGATTGGCTAATAAACAGCATCTTCTCTCAGAAGCTGCCATGGCAGATTGGAAAAAATAATAGAAGGCATGGTACCAGAAAGGAGGGGCAAAGGCTGACCGACACGAAGATGGGCACAGGATATATGTGACTCCCTGAATATGAAAGTTCATGAGGTGGGAGAGCTGGCAGAGACCAAGTTTCTTTCAGGCAGACCATGATGATCCTGCAAAGAACCTGCTACATGATGATCACTTCTGTGTGTAGTCAATTCTTGTTGAATTCTCATGCCTCCATATTGAGCAGCTTAAATTGTTCTATAACATATTTTTATTACAAAAGTTCAATGAGTTCTAACTATACTATAAAATTCTTTCATTCATAACAGTTGTTATTGTGCTTCTGTTGATTTTTTTCTCTCTTTTTTTTCTCCTTCCTCTCTTTCTCATTCTCCTTTTTCTCCTCTTCTTGTTCCTCTTTTCCTCCTTCTCCTTCACCTTCTTCTTCTCCTTTCCTTGTTCCTCTTTTCTTCCTTCTCCTCCTCCTCCTTCACCATCATCATCTTTCTACTTCTTCATCCTTTTTGTTTTTGGCCTACTTCATCATCTGTGCTTCATCTACTTTTTTTCTGAAGTCTGCCTGACATCACATGTCATGTCCCCACTTCACAACTCAACGGCAGTGTTTGCCATGGTGCTACTTCGACCATTTTACATCCCTGTGTTCACGGGGTTGAACAGAATAGACCCACTGTACACCCCCCCCCCCCACACCCACCCCGATCAGGCATGTTGTAAAAGACAACTAATTAGGGGTGCTTGCTTCGAGGTCAGGGTGTGTCTGCCTCAGAGGTCATGGTGTGTCTGCCTCAGAGGTCATGGTGTGTCTGCCTCAGAGGTCATGGTGTGTCTGCCTCAGAGGTCAGGGTGTATTTGCCTCAGAGGTCATGGTGTATTTGCCTCAGAGGTCAGGGTGTATTTGCCTCAGAGGTCATGGTGTATTTGCCTCAGAGGTCAGGATGTATTTGCCTCAGAGGTCAGGGTGTATTTGCCTCAGAGGTCAGGGTGTATTTGCCTCAGAGGTCAGGGTGTATTTGCCTCAGAGGTCAGGGTGTATCTGCCTCAGAGGTCAGGGTGTGTCTGCCTCAGAGGTCAGGGTGTATCTGCCTCAGAGGTCAGGGTGTGTCTGCCTCAGAGGTCATGGTGTATCTGCCTCAGAGGTCAGGGTGTGTCTGCCTCAGAGGTCATGGTGTATTTGCCTCAGAGGTCAGGGTGTATTTGCCTCAGAGGTCATGGTGTATCTGCCTCAGAGGTCAGGATGTATCTGCCTCAGAGGTCATGGTGTGTCTGCCTCAGAGGTCAGGGTGTATTTGCCTCAGAGGTCATGGTGTATTTGCCTCAGAGGTCAGGGTGTATTTGCCTCAGAGGTCATGGTGTATCTGCCTCAGAGGTCATGGTGTATCTGCCTCAGAGGTCATGGTGTGTCTGCCTCAGAGGTCATGGTGTATTTGCCTCAGAGGTCAGGGTGTATTTGCCTCAGAGGTCATGGTGTATCTGCCTCAGAGGTCATGGTGTGTCTGCCTCAGAGGTCATGGTGTATTTGCCTCAGAGGTCAGGGTGTATTTGCCTCAGAGGTCATGGTGTATCTGCCTCAGAGGTCATGGTGTATCTGCCTCAGAGGTCAGGGTGTATTTGCCTCAGAGGTCAGGGTGTATTTGCCTCAGAGGTCATGGTGTGTCTGCCTCAGAGGTCATGGTGTATTTGCCTCAGAGGTCATGGTGTATCTGCCTCAGAGGTCATGGTGTGTCTGCCTCAGAGGTCATGGTGTATTTGCCTCAGAGGTCAGGGTGTATTTGCCTCAGAGGTCATGGTGTATCTGCCTCAGAGGTCATGGTGTATCTGCCTCAGAGGTCAGGGTGTATTTGCCTCAGAGGTCAGGGTGTATTTGCCTCAGAGGTCAGGGTGTATTTGCCTCAGAGGTCAGGGTGTATTTGCCTCAGAGGTCAGGGTGTATTTGCCTCAGAGGTCAGCAACCAACAGTCTATATACAGACAGGCCAGATCTGTCAAATGAAAAGAAGTGGATGAACAATCATAACTTTCTGCTGGAGTTTACAGCTGTTGGGCTCAGAGAAGAAGATTATTTTACTAAGCAAATACAAAGAAACTTGTGACTGTTTTAGGTCACTTCGTAAGTGGACAAGCATCTTCTCTTGATATTTTCTTCTTCTGTACTCCTCCTGAACAGGGCAGTTTGTGTTTGACCACCAGGTTATGCT